CATTACAAACAGATACAGGTCATAGGACAGATGGCATGTAAAACAGCAAAGCACATCACCCGAAAGATGAAAGCATAAGGGAATGAAGGCTCCAGCCCCTGGCGAGACTTATAACACAGCCATGCACACGATTTCATGAGAAAAAGCAGAAAGCTCTTAATTCTGAATGACACACCTATCGCAAAAAAAAAGTGCATGTTTTTACACTATCATATATACTAGATAGCAGAGGAAGAACGTGGAGCGGAGCTATTAAGAGCTTCCTTGGAACCACTGTAAATAACCATTTTCACTTTTGGCTTAAAATTTCTCTAGCTCTTCTATCAAAAAGTGATTTATCTTCTTTCATTTTTCATATTATCTGAAAATAGGTTATTCCCACTAGCACTGCTCTAAGAGACATTTGTCACAGCTGTGAGAGGACATAGCCTGGCTAATTTCTGGTTTCAGAAACCAAGACAAATCGCCTTCCTCACCCAGCAAGCATCCCTTAACATCAGTCAAGCTCCTTCTTTTGAATTAAAACAGCATTTCAAAATATGACAGATACCTTCACTCTGCTTTTCTATTCATTGCTGATGTTTATAACATCAGAACATGTTTAGGATACATGCATCACTGTGTTTATTAATATCAATGATGCAAAGATGTAGACAGATAACTAAAGTAACCAGTATTGTCAAGTACTGGAGTGGGAGGAGCACAGCAGTACTTAGTCAACTTGTAAATACATCCAAATAGTAAACATTTAGAAACACAAGATACAAATATTCAATTAAAGCACGGATAGAGACCTTATTATTGACAAGAAATCTGCTAAGTGTTTTCAAAAGCTGGAAAATGCTTGGTAATTTGAATGCCAAAGCAGCACTGAAAAACAGAAATCTCAGCAGTAAGAAGTGGTTAAAACTCAACCTAGTACTAATTGCTCATGACCATCCAGCAGAACTTCATTTGGACACCAGTAGAACAGAAATTATAATGCCAGTTCAATAATCTGAAAGAACTTTGCTACTAAAAGTCTGAATCATTTCTTTAATATTAAACAGTACATTTACTCTGTAAATGATGAACCAGTATTTCAGCAGAATGCACAGTGTTAGCCAGCCAAGACTTTTCCTTATTAAAAAAGAACAGAATTCACTGTGAACTGAATTCCACATCCTTTCTCCTACAAAGCTTTCTTTGAGGTCAATGGAGAATTTGACTATTAAAGAATGCTGAACTCTGACCTCTGGAATCAGACAGCACAAATCATATTTGGTTTTGGAAATAACCTTCCCTCCTAGGTCTGGAAAGACTTCAAAATAGAACAACCTTTTTCTATTATCCTTCCCTGAAGTTCACAATACCTGAAAGGTTACAACTTAGAGCAATTTGGCAAGTCATCTCAGCTCCCTCATTCACTTGCCTTTATTGTTTATTACCTACTCATTTATTCTTTTAGTATGTATGAGAAGTAACAAAGACCATGAATCTATTTAATCTAGAGAGAGTGAAGAAGCATTTATCATTAAGCACATCAAGCACAGTAAAAGGGAATATGTCAATATGTTTAATGTGCTTTTCCAAACTAGAGAGACTGTTGGTGATGATGAACAAGGAGGGAATGCAAACCGAATACCTTGCTTTTATCATTCAAGTAATGTCTAAAACTAAAGAGAGAAAAACTCAAAAGAAACGAGCAAACAGAAGCCAGAAACAACAGACACAGTGGTGGTATTCTGACAGAGGTCTGTATTCACAGAAACAGAATTTTTATAATTTTTCCACTACAATTCAGTGCAGGTTAAACACAATACCACAGAGATTGTTATCTGTATGATGGAAGACAGAAAGTGACTGACAAACTTTCCAAAATTGCAGATGACCGTATCTCACTATATTTGTGCTATTCCGTTCAATATCAGTGTAGGAATGATGCAATTGACACAGACATTCTGTGGCTTCTGTAGCTGACAAAACCAGTTCACTTTCAAGGCAACCTCGGCCACAACTTCCCATCACTACTTCCATGTTTTTTCACTGTCAGCACCCCTTGGATAGCCTCAAGGACACAATTGCCTGCTGCTCAATGCACCAAAAGCAAGAGTAAACAGATATGATTCTGAGAGCATTTCACAAGATAAAGATCTCATATATTGAGTAAATTCTACTAACCTCAATGAAACCCAGGAGACATGGGGACAGATTATTTTTAAACATAAAGAAACAGGAGCTGAAGCCAACTGGCTGTGTTAGGAGGTTTTGAGAAGGAGGCATTGAATATTTTGTCTGAGAAGAAAGGCACTATCAACAGGTTTGAGGATGATCCACCCTCAGCATACTTCTGCCATGCCATTGAACATACACTGAACATGCTGAGCATACCTACTGGGCTTTCTTAGGACTTTACATTCATGTTTCATTCTTACAAATAGCACATTCAAAAACATTCTTCTGAAACTCCGCTCGTTTCAACTTCCTTTGCCTACTGAGTTTTAAAGTCTATTAAAATAGCAGACTCAATAACATTTTTGCACTGTTATCAATCTTCACTGAGTGACCACAACAATATTCAAACAACTGTAAATTCATTGTTCAAAAACATTAAATTTACCTCAGATCATCAAACAACCATTCTATTTTTATATTCAACTTGTGCTTTTTTTCTGCCCATATATTTTAAGTCAGTCTCTCACTTTACATCTAATTTTATAGCTTTGGAAAAGTTTTCTGTGTTCTCAAACTGCTTCCATTCCACTCAAAATAATATATTTTACTTAGTATGACATGATAGAGCAATTTAACAACTCATTCTCTTCAAACAGTTAGTTATAGGTGATTAATCTTAGTCCTATTAGATCTGAAGTGTCCCTGAGCTCACCAGTCAGTCCTTTCCAGACACCTAAACTAGGGTTGGGAATACATGAAATAAATGCCTGAAATGAGATAAAGACTGGCTAGAACACATTACACTTTAATCAAATCTGAGTAGTTCGCTTTGGGGTTAGAGAAAGATTAAGTACAAAGTCACAGTGGTCTGATGTCTTGCCTGGAGATCCCTTCTGAGCCATCAGATCAGGACTGGCAGTGCTGCAGTGAAAAGTCAGTCACGTTACAGCAAAAAAATGGACACAGTTTGTGCCCATGTGCTATTTCCGCTCATGGAGCTGCAATTTCCCTGAGGCTCCCGTTGCCCTCCCCGTCTGCTATGGTATATACATCGTAGCAAGTCCCCAGCTTGCTTTGTTGAGCTTCCTTCAGTGATTCTCTGCCAAGTTATTACTATCTCTCACATCTCAACACAATTTTCAGGCATGTAAAAGGCTTCCATGTTCTTTTAAATATGATGGTTCACCAAGGGTGACCATCTTTGCCCCTCTTTTCTTTCCTCAACGTAATTTCGTCCATAACTAGCCCTGCTTTCACATTAGGAAATTCCTTTAGAAAATATGATAGACTCAGCCTTGGTGTCATTCCCACAGCAAACATATTACACTCTGATTATCTTCCTTCAGATCCCTTCATTTGATCTTGACACATTCGGACAGGCACGCACGGCATCAATCCAGTCCCATTAGGGCGCTCCGCTGCGCCCGCAGCCCCATTGGGAGCACAGCAGGCAGCCAGGCTGTAGAACATGGCTCTTCCAAGAGAGCCACAGGCAGAACTTTGCAAAAAGAGGAAAGACTTCACCTCAAGCACTGACAGAGTCAAAAGCAAATTAGTATATATTTTCTTTTCTTTTTTTTTAAGATATATTGATGACCTTTGCTCTCTCAGACCATTTGAGTCCTTGAGCAAAAATGCTTTGAAAACTATAAAGTATTGCCTAAATGGGGACTTCTATGAATAGTATCACTTAGCACTTACTGGGGTAACCTCTGCATGCAAAGTATCAGGAAAATATAAATCATCATGATTTACACTCATGCAATGAGTTGTAATGCTTTGAAGAATTACAATGAAATGAACAGTGAGAATATTTTTTTTCCTGAGAGTATAAATAAACTCTGTTTTGTCCTGACAGCATCCTCCAGATGCTGAAGATGAAAAGTTGTTTTTTTTCTGTCAATCAGAGAAAGTAGATTTGTCTTTTAAATTTGTGTAATCTGTAATAATAGGAGTATATATATGAAATAAGGTTAACTCAAGACCCCAGTTCCTTCTCAAGAGAGCAGGAAAACACACACACCAAATGCAGTATGCACACATTCCAAACAGATGTTACCCAGAACATTATCTATTGTAAGGTCCATTCTATTTCCTGATGTAGGACCCTCTCTGTGTATTTTTATATGATCATGATTTGCCTGGCTTTCTCTTAAATACAGACCCAAGTTCTCACCTATTAAAGTGCAACCCTTTACATCTCTTTTAGCAAATTTGCATCTCTACAGCAGACTGAAGTAGGGAAAGCAAGCTCCTGCTTTCATCCTGAATGGGGAAAAATATTATAATTTTTTTCCTCTTATAACACTTGTTAACATATTTTCTTTTTAAGTTGCATTGAATCATCCCAAGGCTTGACATCAGCTGAAAGGTTTAGAGGTAAGATTGAGGTTTAACAGCGGATGTGCAGCCCAGTTTTACCTTTTCAGCAATAAAATGTTAAGTACCGTGCTATACAATCACTACGCTGCTTTCCTTATTGCCACCCAGTAGGGACATATTAATGGCAGCAAGGAGAGGTGAATGCTACAGCAACAAGCCACAGAGAAGGTATCATTTGTAGTTGTCCTTCCAGGATCTTTTCAAAACCCGTAGGTGGGCACGGAGTTCACTCTCACTCATTTGCATGACAGTCTTCCAACATTTCTGAATATTTAACATAGGCAAAACCTGTCTCAAATAATATACAGTATTATCTATTTATTATTGCACTACCTAAGTTTTGGGGAAAGATGACAAAAACTAAAAACTAAACACAAACACCAAAAAGCCCTGCAAAATTCCTTACAGGCGTTTTCCTCCTCAAATTCTCTAATTGCAATTTTTCAACATCAATAAACCAATACCTTGCATTTGTAGCCTCCAAGTCATCTTAGAGATCCGCAGATCTGTCCAACTGGATTTCAACTGGATCACCTATATGAACATAAGAGAAATGGATTGCTTTACTGTGAGTATTTCACAAGACATATAACAGCACGCTCTGCTTGCTGTCAGGGAAAGTTTCATCTGCTGCAAACTCTCATAGCCGTTAGTGAAGTTCTGCCTCATTTAGGTCACTTCTGAACACACAAAAGAATTGGATTTGTTACTCAGCTTCATGTTTTCCTTGCCAACAGGGTGTATGACATAGCTGCTGGGGAAAAAGTATTTTTGAGGTATTGCACATATCCCATTGGAAGATTATTTGGGACAGCTCTTCAGCCTCATGCCTCAATAAGGGGATAAGAGGGATGGCAAAAACTGTTCTCGCTTTCCAAAGTCAGAGAGACAGCAGAGCTCACCAAGATTTTACTTCAAACTACTTCCCTAAGACTCCCTCTTAGTGACAACTGGAACAAAGGAAAGGAACTTGAAAAAGAAACTTGATGATCACAAGCAATCAGGCATCTCAAGGAAGATGCTCAATGCGAGATATATGCCTACCAAAATAAGCAGATGGGCTCTTCTTTTCTCCTCTTTCACCCCCTTCCTCCACCAGTGCACACTCCAAGCTTTACTCTTCCATTAGGATGTTTACCAAACACAACCTGGGAGATGCCGAGATCACACGTTGTCACAGCAAGGCAAAGCAGACAGTATGTCTGCCAGAGCATCCTTTGCTGGTGTGGTGCTGAGCCTGCAGCCCTGCCTGGTGGAGCTGTGTGCCCCTGGTAGCCCCCACAGCCTCATCCCAGAGTTGTGTAAAAAGTACAGGGCTCCCAGAACTAAGCACTGGAAAGCAGCAAATACCAGTGATTGGGTGCCCAGCTGCACTGCCTAACAAATACACTTCCTCATGCTATTCAGGATATATGCAATTTAAAGACTATTTATTGAATGGTAAATACAATTTAAAATGATACTACTCATATATTATGTAAATATATTGTCAGTCAACTCAACATAAACTTTTGAATAAACACTGCCTGAGTAAGGTACTTTAAGCATTTGTTGACTGTTGTTTTGAGCACCAAGCTGTAACATTGCTGCTCTGGGCTTGCCATCACTTTCTGCTCCTTCTCTAATCACTTCTGTAAAGATTACTTCATTGACCATATGAGCAAGTAGTAACTTTCACTTTAATAACTACTGACAAGTACAAAGAACATGTATCGTATGTCTCAGGTACAAGTAATTCTGTATGCTCATACAGCACATCTTTCTGCATAGTTTAGGAAAAGCAGCTCTGAACAAAACTCCTGTAGTATCAACAGGATGGGGCTGTCTGCTGAGCAAAAGTAGCTGAAGGGTTCTTTGAGAAGCTCAAAAAGCAATGCTGCAGCCATGCACTGAGGTGCAGCAATGGGATGGGAACTGCTGCAAGAAGTCTGCCTGCTGGCAGCCTGGGGGAGGAGGGCCTCTGGGACAGCTGGTCCTAAATACACAGATATTCACAGACAAACAAGTGCTGACTGCATCAAACAGTGGTTGTCGTCTCATCCTTAGAAAGGATAGGGTGGGATTACCAAACCTCTTGCTATTCTCACTGGAAGCAAACTCAGCAAATAGATGGTGCTCCAGAAATTGTTATTACATTTATATTAGCTACATTTGACGTATGAAAATTCAAGAAGAAACCTAATGGTCAAATTACTGCTGTACAGCACATAGCACATTAGACTTTGTTCTTCACAAAGATTATTCACATGTCCGATTACACATGAAAATAAATTTCATCGGAATCAATGGCACTTTACGTGGCTGAGCTGCTCAGAGAGTTAGGCGTACTGGGAAAGCAGGAAGGGGACTAAAAGGGGAGCGTTCAAAATTCAGTACTATTAGTCTTTGGCAAGAATGATGTGGGTGTTTAGGAATCTGATTTTGGAAACCTGTTTGTCTCTTGGTACCTATCATGCTAAGCTGTTTTTTAAAATAGGAACACGTCAGCTTGACATTTTTGACAACGCTACTCTTAGATTCCCTTCAGTGCCTTATCCCTCCTTGCCCTTTCAGAAGCTTAACAAGACTATAATCCAAGGAGAGAACAGAGACTTTGGCAACTAATAAAATATTCACAAACTATTATGACAACAATGTATAAAACCAGTTAACTACCCCAGGACTGTCAGGCAAGGAGCCTATAAATCATGCAAGCATCTTGCCGTGTCTGTTAACAGACGTGAAAAGTAATATATTGCACAAAAAAATAGCAGATTCTTACAGGACTGTAAAAGAAAATGTATTATTTTCACTGCCAGATTCTCTCAGTTTGATGATTTTAATACAAGTTACATTGTTTTAGACTGAAAATCTATTAATCTCAAGTCTTGCAAAAAAAAAAAAAAAAGTTTATCAGCAGGATCATAAAGGTTCATCTGCTTGGTTGAATATTCCTGATGTCTCCAGCAACTAAACACCCTCAGACTGTGTAGCTCCACAGGGAAGCTCCTCAACGTTCTGTCTGCTGAGTATCACCTGTAAGTCACTCCTGAATAACCCCCATGTCCCAGCCTACATCTTGCAGCAAGTCTCCTGTACACAGAATGCTCTTTGTTTCCTAAAAGCAACAGTGCAGACTTCAAAACCCACCTTTTCCCAAGGTCTACTGATGCCAGCTATGGGCTCCCAGCAGTTCCCAAAAAGCCTGGCTCTCAGGAGCATCCCTGCCTGGTGCAGGAGAGCACTGCAGCCCCTGCCATCTCGTGCGGTGCTTCCACGTGGCAGAGTTGATGGCACACACCCTGAGTCAGCACAGGAAAAGAAACAGTGCTCTGACAGTTCTGTAAGCAGGCTTTGCCTTCTCCCATTTCACAGATATATCAGGATCCAAGAAATCATATTTGCAAATACTGATGAAATAACTAAACGTTATTCTTACGAGGTGAAAACTAAAAAACAGTAAAATAGCTTTTTCACAAACAGTTCCTACAGTGTGATCTGCAGTACAAAACCACCCAGTCAGCAATGGAAAAAATTGCAACCACACTCCTTTCAGGACTCAGTTTTAGTGCAGAGAACAAGGCACAATACATATATATTAAAAAGTCAACACGTTGTAGCTGAGTCGACTACACGTGGTGACCTCTAGCTTTTACGCTATAAATAACAAAACCCAATAACATACTACATGATTAATTAAAAATACATTGTCCACAATGAGGAAAAACCAACAACACTCTACAGTCTATTAAATGAAATGATGATTCTGAACTGTAATTGCTTTATAGATCACTGAATTAGAAAGTAGAGTAAAAAAGATTTATCACAGATGATATTTGAGATCATTAGTGAAACTCACTAATTAAGGAATTTTATCTCAGGAGGCTGAGGCTATTTCAGTATTTACATACACATCTATTTTCTCCTAAATTATTAAGGTCACCAACCCCAACCCCACGCTCACATAAACCTCCCTGAAACATTTTATGTGCTCCTGACCAACTTAATGAGATGGATGTAATCCTCTGCGGTCTCAATTTGGGAAAGCGTACGGCTGTGTCTTAACTCTGGATGGGACACATTCTCAGCTGAAACACATCACATTGATGCAGGCTCAGCACTCACCTCAGTGGGACTTAAATACCTGCTCAGTAGATTGCTGAACAAGGTTACTGAAATAATTAATTTTAAAAAAAAGTTCCTGAAGCTGTCAAGCAGCATTAACAACACAGAAATTAATATTTCTAAGTGGAATTTCATTATAATGATTTTTATGTAACATGAACATTCAACACTATATGTAAATGTTACTATACAGAAGCAACACTTTTCAGTCTAAGGTAACACAGCACTGCCTAAAAGATCGTTAATAGTCTTGTGGTTGTGCAGTCATTCAGTTGGTGATCTCATTTTGTAGCCAAAACCTTTTAGGATGACATAAAACTGGTGTCAGGGAAGTACATTACTTAATTAAGGAGTAATCTAAATCAAACCAGGAGGAGTATATTTGATTCATTCTAATTGTTTGTAGACGCTATTTATATCTTGCATGGGGGAATGATGGGATTTTACAGGAGTAGCAATAATAGGACTTTCAGGCTTCTAACTTTCCTTTAAAGTAATTTTTTAATAATTTACCATTTACTTCCAGTTTCTCCTGACAAGAACTGAGACAACTTTTATGTCCACTTCTGCCCATGTTGACACGAGTCACCCTCATTAGTAGCCACAGAAAGGTCCCCACCATTTGTGAACAATAGGACACAACAGTTTCATCCCAGCTTTCACCTGCTGGTCTGTACAAAGCGCTCACATGAATCAAAGATGTCTTTTCCAAATGACACACCGACATGGCATCCTTCTCAGTTGGCTGCACCAATCCCTTCTGCAGCGTACTCCACCTTATTTGCTTTATTTGCCCAGCCTTTTAGACCATAAGTTCCTTGTTACCAATTTTTTACTTATTCGGGCTTTTCAAATCACGTGGAAAAATGGGGCTCAACCTGTTTGTGATCACAGCGTAGAAGTTAAATAAATCATAACAGCAGCCAAAGTGCATTACAAACTGGAGTTGTCTTCTATATATTTCATATTGTGAAATACAAAAATACGTTAGAATGTATTTAGAAAATATAATTATATCATGAAATACAGAAATATGCTGATCTATTTTGCCCTTAGGTTTTGCATTTATAGAGAACCTATCACTGCGGCGTCCCTGGGTAAAATTGAGGCTTTCATGCGTAGACCTGAAACGTGTAATGACTTCCACTGACTTCTGTCACTGTTCCAGATTGCTTCTAGGATCCTGCTTCTGAACATTAATGTGTTTGGTTATCAGTTCAAACGGCATAAGATTGCCAACGTCTTTTGAAGCTTTAGATCTCACCAGGAAGAATTCACTATCTCTCTTGTAGCTGTACTTCCTGTGCAATATGAAACCTCTCCTTATTCACAGCTTCTCTCTACAGTCATCAAAAAGTTTATTCCTATTATAGACTAGACCAAGTGTATCTAAAAAGACACTGCAGGCACTGCATTACATACAGTAGGAA